TCCTGGGGACTTCCTCTGTTCACTTACTGGAGGGGGAGGAGAAAGAACATTTTAGAAAAGCTGGTCCAAGTAGCAACGCCTTCTGCTGTGTGTTTTAGAAGGAAGAAGCGCTAAGCACGGTGACTCACACTGATCTTGGCACTAGGAGGCTTAGGCAGGAGGATGGCTGTCCTGGGCTACTGCATGGTGAGACCTTGTCTCAGAAAGCATAATAATAAAAATAAAAGGTTTTCCCTTTTTGAATGCTTTGTTCTCGTGAGCATTTTCCACACTTTTGTATAAACTTTTTTTAAATTTTATTTTTATGTGTATGCGTGTATTGCCTGCATGTAGGTAAGTGTACCCATGTTGTGCAATGCCCTGGGAGGTCAGAAGAGGCCATCAGATCCCCTGGGACTGGAGTTCCAGACAGTTGTTAGCTGCCATGTGGGTGCTGGGATTTGAACCCAGGTCTTCTGCAAAAACAATCAGTGTTCTTAACCGCTGAGCGGTCTCTCCAGCCCCATTTATATAAATGATGATGAAAGAAAGAAGCTTTTCAGAAACTCTCTTAAGTAATATAATGAAAGGATATGTTGGTATTTTCCTGACATCTTGGAACATTCAGAGTTCTGGAAGGGGAACTTTTACTTTTTCTCTAACTTTTTTTTTTTTTTTTTTTTTTTTGTCTTTTTGAGACAGGCTCTCCCTGTAGCCCCAGCTGGCCAGGAACTTACTATGTAAACCAGACTGGCCTCAAACACAGAGATGTGCCTGCCTCTGCCTCCCAAGTGCTAGGATTAAAAGGGTGCATCACCACGCCTGGCAGATTACCTCTAATTTTTAAATAGAGGTGGCTGATCAGAGGGAGGGAAGGAGGTTCAGAAGGCCACTGAGGCCCCAGAGTGAAGGCGCCTGTGGGTCCCATTGGAAACCACGCTGCCAATGGCCTCTCTTCTGATGAATTTGTGAGGACTGTGAAGAGCTCTTTCTAACGCCGCCACCATTTTAGGTGATTCTGTTCAAATCGAAGTGCTATGTTATGTATTACACCTTACCATTTCAAGGCAGCGGTGCGCCCCAAGAGTCTCCATGGATTTGGCAGCCATATGGGAATATTGGTTTATCATTTATTTTTTTAGGAGACAGACAAAGATACGTTTTGCTGGGATTTATTTATTTATTCATCTTGGGTTTTGAGACAGAATCTCAATAGCCATGGCTGGCCTTGAAGTCCTGATCCTCCTGCCTCTACCTTTCCGGTGCTGGGATTAAAGTGCATGCCACCACGTCTGGCTTTGTTGTTACTGTTATTTTGCAAAGACTTTGGAGTTACAGACTCCACTGAGAATCAAAATTAAATGGTTTTGTGTGGTGTGGTTGGAACTGCCTCAATGGAGTGGCCTTAGGGGCCGTGAGTGCCCTTGGCTATCCACAATGCCAAACAACATTTCCTCCTTGGAGAACAGTGGTGAACAGACAGAAGGGCTTCCCCCAAAACCCAGTGCCCCATTCAAGCCCTTAAGATGTAGGGGTGGGCACAGAGCATCAGTTATCCCGTGGCCTTGTAGGAAATTAGTTCGCTTTAGCTCCAAGTTGTGTCAAGCATCACTCCCCTCCTGAATTCTTCTTGGGTGGAGATGGCACCGCAGGGCGCTTGCCACCAAACCTGATAACCTGAGTTTGATCCCTGGGACCCACATGGTGGAAGGAGAAGCGTGAGTCTCACAAGTTGTCCCCCAACCTCACATGCACACCGTGACGTGTACATACACACACATTAAAATAATAGATAAATAAATAAATAAATAAGAACCTTCTTAAGTACCAATTTTATTTGTCTCATCAGTAAGACAAGAATTTTCGTTTGGGGGCAGTATTAGGAATTGAGCCGAAAGTTTCCCTCGTGTTAGGAAAGCACCCTACTGCTGAGTGGTATCTCCAGTCCTCACTTTGCTTTTGATTTTGATTCAAGATCTCACAATCCTGCCCAGGCTCACCTTGAGTCACTCTATCCCTGGTTAGCCTCAAACTTCTGATCCCCTGCCTCTGAGTCACTGGGCCTGCATTAGGAGGCACAGTGGAGTAACGATTCTTTGTTATATTCTGTTTTTGAGACAGCAGCTGAATGACTGAGGCTGGCTTTAAACATGAAGTCCTCCTGCCTCAGCCTCCTAAGTAGCTGGGACATCGTCCTCTGCAACGAGGCCTGGCAAGGTATTTTTTAAAATGCAGATTTCATGATAAATCAGTTATTTTTTATTTTTTCTTATTTTTAATTTTTTGGTGGTGCTGGGGGTTGGGCCCAAAGCCTCTCACATGCTGTGCAAGCAATCTGCTAATGGGCTACATACCCAGTTGCCTGCCCCTCAGTATATAGGTGAGAACTCAAAGCCAGTGAACCATCAAAACTGCCAAAGACAACACGGACAGGCACGATTACAGAATCACAAAGGACAGGCAAATACTGGCCTCGAAAGAACTCTGAATGACCTGGGGTTTTACTCTTTTGAAACAAATATCAAAAAGTCTAGTGGAACTCTGAGGGGCTGGTAATGATTTCAAAGGCAACACAAGTGTGCGGTGAGCTGCTGTGTGCAGATGGGTAGCAGGCTCTGAGGAGGACGTGTTGTGACCTGGTCTGTTCTTTCTGTTTCAGGGTGTACTGTATGACCTGGACAAGGTAGGTCACTCTTCTGAAAGACAAAACCCTGCATCCTTGAGTGGGTGTCAATAAGAGGCCTTCTTGGGGACAGTAAGAGCCCAGAGAAAGGATGATTTGCTCATCCTGGGGGAAAAAAAAAAAAAAAACCCATGCCTTTGTCCCATAAGGACAATGAACGCTCATTGGGGTCCACGGAATCAGTGAGGTGTTCAACTCTCTGGGAGACAGCCAGTGGGCTTGCTCTGGGTGGCCAGAAGTTTGACGACCGGCATTTGGAGGCCTCACTGCCACATTTCATCAGATCTGATGCCAGTCATTTATGTGGCAGTTTAAAATGGTTCAATTTAGCTTAGTTCTTTCTTTTCACGTAAAATGCATAATTTTTTCAATTTTTTTTATGTGTGTGAGTGTATTGCCTGCATGTATATAATTGTACCCAGGTCATGCAATACCCATGGAGATCAGAAGAGGGCATCAGATTCCCTGGAACTGAAGTTACAGTTGTTTAGTCACCATGTGGGTGCTGGGAATCGAACCTGGGTCCTCTGCAAGAGCAGCTAGTGCTCTTAACTGCTGAGCCAGCTCTCCAGCCCACATAATATATATTCTTATTGAGAAAGTTACTTGGGTCTTTTAAACATGAATGTATTGCTTCTCTTTAGGTATGCATGATGTCACACTCCACACCTTTCTGGTCTTTAACTTTATCTCAATGCTGAATCATAGTAGAGTCTCTTTGAAAATATTTTAACTTAAGTGCATGCACTAACAGTATTTCCAAATCACAGAGATGGCCCGAGCCACTGTATCATGAGCCAGAACAGGCGGCTGTCTGCCACTGGGCAAGCAGCAGTCACAGAATCTACCCCAATTTCAGATACAGTTCAGTGTTAAAAAAAACAAACAAAAAAAACGCATTTTAGAACACACAAGATATATTAAGAAATTTAAATAACACTATTCTACCGGAAACAGCATGGATTGGCCTCTTTGATGTTAGACGCAAGGTGATTGTCATTAACTCAAGCTCATCTCTCAGCCTCTTCCATGTTTTGAGAAGTACGTTCCAGATTAGCATTAGAACATTTATGAAATAGTGACAAAATACGAGAGGAGCAGTAAGTACTGCACTTTGCATAGAAGACAACGAAAATATTTTCAAAAGCCTCCGTCAGTGGATCTGTGAATGGTTGTTGATTTTTTTTCAAGTTTCTCCTCTTAATTCCAGCAAATTAAAACAATTGAACGATACATGAGACGCCTGGAGTTTCACATTAGTAAGGTAATTGAAGTTCCTGTTGGCTTTTCCTGGTTTGGGGCTCTCAATTACTGATCAATCATACCTCAGCCCAAGTGTCCTGACTGCAGTACCTGTTGGTGGAAAATTTATCTGACTGATGCCTGAGCTGATTAGAATGAAGGCTTCCAGGAGCCGGGGGGTTGGGGGTTGGTTAAGAGAACGTGGCACAGTTTGGTGTCCTCTTCAGTTCTACCGGTGTTTATTAAGCCTAGTGCCTGCAGCCTCCATGAAGTGTGGTTAGGCACTGAACCAAACTGAACCGACAGAAAGCTTCCTTCTCAGCCAGGCCTGGTGCACACACTGCAATCTCAGCACTTAGGCAGAGGCAGGAGAGTGGGGCGTCCCAGGCCAGCCTGGGCTACATGTGAGGGCCTACCTCAAAAAGCAACAGAAAGAAGGAAAGAGAGAGGAGAGAGAAGCCGACCACAAAAAGGTACATTATTATTATTTAGAGCATAAGTGTAGACATATAACAGGAAAAAGTTCGTTTTCATTTTTCAATTGTATAATTTACATATTTACATATAAAAGAGTTCGCAGTTCTTGTGTGTCCCGGTTTGATGGTTAAACAGGTGCGTTTTACCCTAATTTTAAGAACAATTCAACTTCATTTTCTTTCTTTACTACTCAGCCAAGACTTTACAAAAACTGTTTTCAATAAATAATCCCAATTTCTTTTTTAAAAATTGCTAAATCAGCTGGACATGGTGGCGCACACCTTTAATCCCAACACTTGGGAGGCAGAGGCAGGCAGAGCTCTGTAAGTTCAAAGCCAGCCTGGTCTACATAGTGAGTTCCAGGACAGCTGGGGCTACAGGGAGACCCTGTCTCAAAAAGACCAAAAACAATAATAATTGCTAAATCCTGGGGCTGGAGAAATGGCTCAGTGGTTAATAGCACATACTGCTCTTGCAGAGGACCTGAGTTCAGTTCGCAGCACCCACAATGAGCAGCTCACAACCACCTGTAACTCCAACTCCAGGGGATTTGATGCTCTCTTCTAGATTCTGAGGGTACCTGCACTCAAGTGCACATACCCACACCCAAACATACATGAACACATAAAAAATAATTTTTTTAGAAAAGACCAGGTGTGGTAACACACACCTTTAATCTCAGCACTCCGAGGCAGAGGCAGGTGTACCTCTGTGAGCTGGAGGCCAGCCTGGTCTACATAGTGAGTTCCAGGTCAGTCAGGGCTTCATATGAGACCCGGTCTCAAAAAAAAAAAAACAAATCTTTGGAAAAAATTTAAAAACCTGAATCCAGGCTAGGGAGATAGCTCAGTGGTTAAGAGCACTTGCTAAGAGATCTTGAGGGCCAGAGTTCAGGTCCCAGTGCCCATACAACAAGCCAGATGTCCCACAAATGCCTGCAATTACAGCTCTGAGGGAAGCAGAGGCAGAAGGATGGTCGACTTTCAGCCTGGCTGAGAAAACTTGAGCCCCAGATTCAGGGAGAGACCCTGCTTCAAAGGTGAGGAGGACACCTGACGTCTTCTCTCAAGCATGTAGACACACGCACACATGTGCACACACACAAATAAATAAAATGTAGACTCCAGATGTGTAGATCCCACCTTGTGACAGTGCCTCTTAAAATGGTAATGGCTTTGCATATTACAAAGTTTTCTTTCTGGCATGTAAAACCAGAACCTCTTTCAGTGTTTGTTCCGTGTACAGAAGGTTCCTCTCTTTATTCTCTCTCTCTTCCTCTCTCTCTCCCCCTCCCCCCTTTCCCTTTCCCTTCCTCCTTCCCTCCTTCTCTTGTTTTTTCTTGAAGCAGGATCTCACTATGTGGTCCCAGCTGGTCTGGAACAATCCTCCTGCCTCAGTTTCCCAAGTGCTGGGATTCCAGGCATGTGCCACGCTCCCAGTCTCAAAACCATGAAAGAGAAACCTTTCCAGTTTGTGTAATTTGGAGACAGGATTAGAGCAAAAGTACTTTGAGACAGAAAACTGATCATGATACCTACAATAAAGGTGACTGACCTAAAATCACGCTCCTGCAAGCCTCTGCTTGTTAAGGCCAGAAACACAACACACCTTTAAGGCATGACAGTGACCCGTAGACCTTCCCTCAAGCCTGGCGGGTGTTTATATCATTTCCTGTTCTGGCTCTGGCAGGTAGATGAACTCTATGAAGCCTATTGCATTCAACGACGCCTCCAGGATGGTGCTAGCAAAATGAAGCAGGCATTTGTGTCATCCCCTGCCAGCAAGGCTGCACGGGAGAGTCTGTCGGAGATCAACCGCAGCTACAAGGAGTACACAGAGGTACCCCCACCCCCACCCCTACCCCAGATGCTGGACCCCATCTGGCCTAATCCAGTTTGTTAGTCACTGCCCAAGAGGTGAGCACCAACACACAACCCCATTCCACTCTCTAAAGAGACAGAAAACACAGATGCAGCCAAGCCTGGTGGCACAGGCCTATAATCCCAGCTGCTTGGGAGACGGAAGCAGGCAGATTGCTAGTTCAAGGCCAGCTTGGGTCACAGAGTGAGTTCAAAGCCAGTCTTGGCAACCCATTGAGACTCTCACCCAAAATTTAAACAAAGAGGGGGCTGGAGAGATGACTCAGCAGTTAAGAGCACTGGCTGCTCTTGCAGAGGATCCAGGTTCAAGTCCCAGCACCCACATGGTACCTAACAACCATCTGTAACTCCAGGGTATCCAGCACCTTCTTCTGACCTCCTTGGGTCAGAAGTGCACTTACATGCATGCAGGCAATGCACCCATACACATAAAATAAAGATAATTTTAAAAATATTTTTTTAAACAACAAAGAAGTGAAAAGAGGGCAGGGCACGCAGCTCAGTGGAGCATTTATTGACCTGGCAGGCGCCAAGTCCAGTCTCTGGTATAGCTCCAAAAAAAAGGCAAGGCAATGATAAAATTATTTGAGCCATGATGCCCTGCATTTTGATGTGTAAATGCACTTTCAAATACTATAGTATAGAACCTGGCTTTATCCCTGGAGGAAGAACAGACCCTGTGGTTAAGGTGGCTGTCCCAGACACGGTATTGAAACCAGTATCCATCCTGCCTACAGTGTGTGTGTGTGTGTGTGTGAAGAGAGAGAGAGAGAGAGAGAGAGAGAGGGAGAGAGATCGTTCTATCTTAAAGGGACAGTGTGTCTTCCTAGTTTCTGACTGTCCCTGGGGCCCAAGCATCTGGGCAGGAGGCCTTCACTCCCCCAGGGGTTACCTAACACTAATGTGTGCCTTTGATGAACTGACTGAATTATTAAAGCTTCACTTCTCACCATCCCTAGAGTCTTTATTAAGAGATCAGATGTCACCAATGAAGTCATGGCTGGACAATTCCCAGAGCCATGTGTCTGTTTTAGGAGCCCTTTATGTGCACACCACAGGGCTGTCCCTAGTTTGTCCCAAGTTATTCTCTTTGCATGACCTAAAACAGTCTCGTCTTTACCTAAATTCCCCTTTTCCTAAGAATGTTTTTAGGTACATAATCTGGATACAATGCCTCACACTTGCAATCCTAGCACTTAAGAGGTTAAAGCAGAAGTTTGAGGCCACCCTGGGCTGCATAGTGAGTACCAGGCCAACCAGGACTACGTAGCATGGCTGTGTCTCAAATAAGTAAGGGTTAGGGAGATGGGTCAGTCAGTAAAGTGCTTGCTGTGTAGACATAAGGATCTGATTTCAGATCCCCAGCACCCACATAAAAACTGGGCATGGCCACGAACCTGTAACTCCAGTGCCAGGAGGCTTGGGGGACGGAGACAGGAAGATGCTAGAGCTCGCTGGCCAGCCTAGGGCATGGCCCCAGGACTTTGTTCACAAGTACAAGCAAGGGTATAGTACAGTTTCTTTAAAAGAGACATGTTAGATCCAGACCTCCAGACCTCCCTTGACAGCAGGTGTCTTTGGATGCTCATGAAAACACAAAACTCAGAATGCATGACAGGCAGTTGAGGGCAGGAAGGCTCACGGGAATTTGCCTATGTCACAGTGTTCGTCCATGATTGCCTGAAGGAGGCTGACAGGAGTATGGACCACGGTGGCTACAACTGCTTACCCAGCTGGCCCCAGGTTCCTCAGACAGTGGTACAAGTCTTAATACACCTGATGACACACTTGGAATTTCTAGCAACCATTCCCTTGCAGAGAGGCCGGAGGCTCTGAGGAAGCAAACTATTTACAATGCTGAGACTTTGTTCTCAAAACTGTCAAGCTGCTCAGAACTCAGACCTAAGAAAATGCCCCCAGCTCTGTGCAGTTCTCTGAAGCCCTGAGGACATCCTAGGGGAGGGGCAGTGCCTTTTTCTGTGTGCCCCAGAAGACTGACTGCCATGCAGAACCAAGACACAAGTAAAAACAGAGACTCTAGGCGGGAGACATGGATCAGCGGTTAAGAGCACTGGCTGCTCTTGCAGAGGACCCAGGTTCAGGTCCCAGCACCCATGTGGTGACTAACAACCATCCTTAACTCCAGTTCCAGGGGATCTGACACCCTCTCTGGCCTTCATGGGCATCACATGCACATGGTACACTTATGTACAAGCAGACAAAACACACATAGAAATAATAACAAAATAAAATAAAATAAAATAAAAATAAATTTTAAAAATAAAAAGAAGCAGAGCCTCATAGGCATATATAAAATACATATGTATATATACTTATATGTATATATATATAATCACATATATAATAGAGTACATGAAATTGGGTGTGGGTAACAAGCATGGTGCATTTTGGGGAGGGAGGTCTAAATATTATCAAAATATATGAAATTCTAGGGCTGGAGAGATGGCTCAGTGGTTAAGAGCACTGACTGCTCTTACAGAGGACCCAGGTTCAATTCCCAGCACCCACATGGTAGCTAACAACTATCTGTAACTCCAGTTCCAAGGGATCCAACACCCTCTTCTGACCTCCGAGGACATTGCACGACATGGGTGCACTTACATACATGCAGGCAATACACTCATACACATAAAATAATAAGTAAAATTTTTAAAAAACCAAAATAGATTAAATTCTCAAAAATCTTTTTAGAAAAAGAAAGAAAAAACTTTCTGACCTACAGCCCGTCTAGCACGTCCTGAAGCCCTCTGTGTGCCGGTGGCTCACTGAGTAGTCTTCTTCTGTCATGATTGCAACTTGCACCCCACCATGGTGAGGCACCCCACTACAGAGACAGTGACGGAGCCTGCTGCTTGGCACAGTAGGCACCTGAGCTGACCCCAGCTGTGCTCCGGGAGACCCCGACTTTATGTCAACCTCCAACTGCTCTTGTTAGACCATCAGGTACCAGGGAGGTAGGACAGGAGGATGGTTAGGTCTTGTAACCACATGCATAGAGTTGCTCCTTCTGCCTCTGTCCTTTAACACTACAGGGAGGAAGGGACCCCCACTAGACCCAGGGGATCATTTTGGGGGTATGTGACATCACATTAGGCTGTCTGCCTCACTTGAGTAAAATCTAACTCCCAAGCTCTTCTTACTTCAAATTTCTATGTGTATGTGTACACGCTTGTATCCATGTTCATGTGTGTGCAGGTGCATGTGTGTGTGCGGGTACAGAGGTGCGGGTATAGAGGTCAGAGAGAGTCATTCCCTGGGTGCCATCCACCATTTTGTTGAGTTTTTTCTGTGTTGTTTGTTTGAGACAGGGTCTCTCACTGGCCTGGAACTCACCCGTAGTCTGTGCCAGCAGGACCCACCGGCCCCAGGGGTCGGCCTCTCTCTGCCTCCCAGGGCTGGGATTACAAGCACTTGCCACCATGCCTGGCTGCTTCTTTCTTTAATTCTTTTAATTAACACGTAAAAGGTGCTACACATGGTATAGTGTGGTGCTCTGAAATAGGTCTACACTGTAGAATGCTGCTCCAGGCTGCTTAAGCTGGAGCGTGGAGCATGGATCTCCTGTACTCACCTATGTAACATGTACAGCTGATTTTTTTCCCATAATACTGCCTTTTTGCAGAATCCCAGTCTATTCTTATAGAACAGCCCATGTTCTGGGTTTGTCTGGCTACTTTTGGTGTCATTCACTTTGTTTGTCTAAGCCCCGGCCGTCCTGTGTGCTGGAAGCTTTGCTTAACCTACGTCTTGGAGCCTGTGCTGTGATGTAACTCAAGGCAGGCATCTAAACATCTCATTCATGCTGTCACTATTGAAACCACATGCTTTGAGCTACTGTGTGGAGAAAGGTGGTCTGACACCGTGTCCTGTGCTCTTTTCAGAACATGTGTGCCATCGAAGCAGAGCTGGAGAGTCTGCTGGGCGAATTCTCCATCAAGATGAAAGGTAATCTTGTCCCTGTTCAGGGGACTAAGGCGCCATCTCCTCAGAGCTGTGCAAGAACACGTGCTACCTCTATTTTCTTTGCAAAGACATAGGACCACCCACTCTGGGCCTTCCCACTCCTGTTACTTTATTGATGCCTCTCCTCTTGAGTCTTGCCTTCATACTTCAAAATGGTGTTTATTACGAGACCATGTCAGATGCTCACGAAGATGGAGAGAACATTACAAGGAACCCCCAGAAATCCACCACCTAGATTCAGTGACTTGGCCATGTTTTTTTGTGTGTTTCCTTTGTTTTCCTTTGATGAACAGAAGTCTCTGGAGGAGTAAAAGCCAAGCATGTCAGTCTCCCCTGTAAACCTCAGCATCTCTGAAAGAATAAGGCCAAATCTTATATAACCGCAGTGCGTGTCCCACCATCCCATTATCACACTGAACAAAACGAGCCTTTGTTATTAACCTGGTTCACTTGCAGATATCCCCAGTTGTCTCAAAAATGCCTCCTACAGTTGCTTTGCTTTAATGAGGACCCACACGGTCCATCGTTGTAATTAGTTGTTAAGTGGGTTCCCTTTCATCTAAAACAAACCCCTCTCCTGACTGCTAGACCTGTCTCTTGGCCTCTTTGTGCTATGGTTTATTTATTTATAATATTTATGTCTGACAGCATTTTACCTCGAACCCAAGGCAATCTCCCTGCCAAGTGCATTAGCACACCTGCTCGCCGTCCCTAAACTGCTTCAATCCTCCTTTACCCCCGTGTTTCCGTAAACCCACAGACAACTGTGAGTCTGTGGTGTTCAGTCCGGAAGGTTCTAATCTAGAAGCACTGACTTAGATTTACAGCATCTTCAACAGAGAAAGGAAGGCTGGTTCTGAGGTGGAGCTCCGCCCAGGTGTGATCAGAACTTACAGTGAGGTGTTCACAGTGGCCAGCAGGGCTGTGGGACAAGGGGCCGTAAGCCAGTCCTTTTCTCTCCCAAGCTCTGACCCATTTGAAGGCTGGAGGGCCAGGGTTCATGAAGCCCTTTCTCTGTTTTTGTTTGTCATCAGCTTTATTCCTGGATTGCTAATAGGGATTTAATCAGACTCCCTTTAAAAGGGGCTCAGCAAGAGATCTTCCCTTTCAAATGACCCCAACAGGTGGGAGATTACTCTGTGGCGTTCTGTGCAGAGCTTCTGGATGGGTATGCTTGAATCAAAATGACCTCCCAAAATGAACCCCACAAATGGCTCCAGTCTCCTCTTAGGGACCTGATAGCAAATTGGTTTGTTGTTCAATGTTAAGTACCTGGAGCATCTGCACCTTTCCAACTTCTTAGGTCCATTTGGGTCTCCACCAGAGACAGTGGTTCAAAGTCACTCGGGGCTGCCCTATCTCTCAGCAGGTCAGAATCTATAGAGCCAGGATGGGGTCCTAGAGGACTCTTTAAATATTCAGGATGATTCCATCAGCAGCCTGGTTCCATGCAGTCTAACAGACAGAGCATGAGTAAGGTCACCTGTCAGTCTTATAGAAGGTCTGCCCATGTCCCCTACCACACAGGCTAGCACACAGTCACTGTTGCACAAGGAGTAATTAATTACTCATGTCCTAATTCTGATGTTCACTGTTATTAGATGCTTCCATTTTTTGATATTTTATTTATTATTTTTATTTTATGTGTAAGAGTGTATTGCCTGCATGTGTGTAAGTGCACCCATGTCATACAGTGCCCACAGAGGTCAGAAGATGGCGTCGGATCCCCTGGAACTGGAATTACAGACAGTTGTTAACTACCATGTGGGTGCTGGGAATCGAATCCAGGTCCTTTGTAAGAGCAGCCAGTGCTCTTAACTGCTGAGCATCTCTCCAGCCCCTAGATGCTTCCATTTTTGATAAGAGGATAATTTCAGCTGGGCGTGGTGGTGCACACCTTTAATCCCAGCACTGGGAGGCAGAGGCAGGAGGATCTCTGTGAATTCAAGGCCAGCCTGGTCTACGTAGTGAGTTCCAGGACAGGTGGGGCTACAGGGAGACCCTGTCTCAACAAGACCAAAAAAAAAAAAGAGGGTAATTTTCCCCATTTCATAGAGAAGTTAAAGCTGTCTCAGAGGTCAGACAGCACGCTGACGTCAGACTTGAAATTGCATGCTGGGTTCCCGGCTCCTGAGTTGGTTGCTTTGCTCTTCCTGTGACCAAATGCCTGAAAAAAGCAACTTTGGGGAGGGTTACTGTCACTTACTGTTGGGAGTGCACAGTGGGCCGCAGTGGGGAGGGCCCGGCAGAGCTGGTTATGGAGGAGCACCCAGCTGAGACGTCCTCCATCTCCCAGGACAGGATGCACAGAAGGAGATGCTGGTGCTCAGCTCACTTTCTCCTTTTTCCCTTTTAATTCAGTCCAGGACCCCAGCCCACAAGGGGTGGCCACCCACAGTCAGGCTGGTCTCACGTCTCACTTAATCCTCCCTGGAAACACCCTTACAGACATATCCAAAGGGGTAGGCCAATGCAGGAGGTTTCTTCCTTCCTGCCCTCCCTCCCTCCCTCCTTTCCTCCCTCCCTCCTTCCCTCCCTCCCTTCCTCCTTAATTCAGTCCAGGACCCCAGCCCACAAGGGGTGGCCACCCACAGTCAGGCTGGTCTCACGTCTCACTTAATCCTCCCTGGAAACACCCTTACAGACATATCCAAAGGGGTAGGCCAATGCAGGAGGTTTCTTCCTTCCTGCCCTCCCTCCCTCCCTCCTTTCCTCCCTCCCTCCTTCCCTCCCTCCCTTGCGTCCCCCTTTCTCCCTTTCTTTCTCTCTCCCTCTCCCCCCGCCACACTTCTTTCTTTTGTGTCAGTGCCTCATGTAATCCAGGCTGGCCATGAACTCCCTATGTAGCAGAAGCTAGCCTCAAACTCTTGATTCTCTTACCTCTACCTTCCAAGTGCTGGGGTCACGGGTGTGCACAACCAACCCAGCCTTCTAGGCATTTTGTACTTGAAGCAAGTTGATCCCAAGGAAGTCAGCAGCTGAGCAGACACCGTCAACCACTGCTTAAAGGATGGAATGGGGGGGGGGTCCTTTACACAGGCACCCGAAAGCATGGCAGGGAAAGTAGCTTCCTGCCCACCCCTATGCAAACTTCCAGCCCTGTGGTCAGTGAGGGGGTGATGAGGACACCCGTCATGGATGGGGGTTCTGGCCACCTGCTGAGAAGAGCAAGGGTGACATGGGCTGAGGCAGTTGGAACCTTCTGCTCTCCTGTCCCTCTGCCTCTCTCTGCCCACTTTCCTCATCTGTGTCCTTAGTTGCCCTGAATTCAACTTCTGTCACCTCTACCCTCCTAATGTAACACAAAACCTCAGAAACCAGAGAGGGACCAAGTAGTCTTCCTGGGCCATCAAGGCATCCACTGCCTGTCTGCTGCTCGGTCTGATGAAAACACATCCCCTCCCCACCACCCTGACCCTCTCAAAAAAACAACCCGTTGCATCACATTCTCAGATCTGCAACCCCTCGTTTCCTCCTGCCCCACCTTCCTGCACTTCCCTTTTGTGCTACCCCACAACTAACCGCAGTGTGATGTTGGGGAAGGGTGGCTGGGTGACGCCGATAAGGACGATAAGGACGGGGGAGCCAGTGTTGTTTGGCTGAGATGTATTCGCCTGCCTTTGCCTCCTGGTGGCCCCTGGCCTGGGCTCCACAGTTTGCTATGAGGACTGCATCCTCACCTCATGCGAGCACCTGGCAGCCAGTCACCTGACCAGACTGCTGCCAAAGGGGAGGTACAGAAGGCAGGGGCAGGAGGATCTAGGCTCAAGGCCAGCCTGAGGTAACTGGGCAGACGGTCTCAAAAGAAAAGAAAAAAATTAAGCCGGGTATAGTGGTTCACGCCTGTGATTCCAGCACTCTTGAGGCTGAGGCAGGAGGATTGTTGTGAGTTTGAAGCCAGCCTGGGCTTCAGATGAGTGCCCACTTGGAGAGAACTAGATTCATGACCTGGGACCAGGAAGGACGTTAAGAGATGTGGTCTCTTACAGAAAACTCAAATTCCAGGAGTGTGTGCCCACTAGTCAGTGCTAGGCCCCATAGCTTTTAGGACAAGGCCATGTCCCATGAGCTAGGAAACCTGCACTATTTACGCCTACCTATAAGTCAGGAAGGTCTATACCCGGACACCCAGCTGTCAACTACTTGGAAGTTTGCCTTAAAGTAGGAGGTAGGCCTCCTAAGGGCGGAGGAGGGGCTGGGAAACCAGTCCTCTCCAACAGAACAGTGTCTAAACAACAGAGCCAGCCAGCGGCTGCATGGCTGTCAGCTACCCACACTGCGATAAAATTCCTGAAAGAAGCAAAGGAGGGGAACTGTTTATTGTGCCTCAAGGTTTGAGGGGATACAGTCCACCTTGAGGGGCAGGACTTGGTGGTGGGTGGGGCTTATTCACATCTAGGTTGATCAGGAAGCCCAGAGAGGACTGCTTGGAAGCAGGCTGGTAAACCTCAAGATCGCCTTTCCTCCAGTGAAGCCCAACTCTTAAAGGTCCCCAGCCTCCCTAAACAACGCCATAGGTGTTCAAACATGAACCAGTGGGGGACATTCACATTCAGACAGCAGGGCAGCACCCTACCTTCCATCCAGGCTGTGGAAGAACTGTTACATCAGCAACATGGGAGCAAATGAAAGACCTAAAGGCAGGGCTGCAAAGACAGCGCAGCAGTTAAGAGCACTGGCTGTTCTTGCAAAAGACTGGGTTCAGTTCCCAGTGCCTGGTAGCTAACAACCAGCTGTCACTGCAGCTCCTGGGGATCCAGCACCCTATTCTGGCCTCATCGGGCATTGGAGCACTTAGAATCTATGCAGGCAAAACAGTCATACACATAAAATAAAAATTTAAAGATCGGAGAAGGCTTACTTAGATACAAAAGACTCAATCCTCCCCATCTCTCAGGCACATTCTTCAGAGGGAACCCAGGGATGGTTTCTAAGGGCCATCATCAAAACTTTTCAGATGATGCAAGTTTTCACCTAGTTGCTGAGAAGGCACTCAGTTTTCCCAGCTGCAGAGGCACCAGCCGGGCTTCAGGCCAGAGCTGAAAGAGCCCCACCAAGCCCCAGAGACGGCCACCACTACCATCACCGCACAGTGCTTCAATGACCTGGACCAAGAGCCCTGTCACAAGCAGCAGAGCTTTGAGAGGTGCGGCCCGGGGCTATTGTTGCCTGGCCCTGGTCCTTGTGCTACCTTAGCCAGAGGATCCTTGATGCCATTTGGGCAATTCAGGAAAGTGTCTCAATTCACACAGCCAGGGAGGGGAGGCTCAAGACCGTCACTACCACAGCCCTTCCTCCCATTTTAAGTTCTTTAGATAGGAAATTTCTGGTAATTTTGAAAGGGGTAAACAAGACTTTCAAAGCATTTTCCCCTTTTCTCGCCTTATCCAGTGTACCTGGCCGACTTCTTTAAAGCAGAGCTTCTATCTTACTTCATTGGTAAACAGGCGGTGGATTGGCCCAAAACTAATTTTCAGGTTTTAAAAGAGTAATTTGGGTTTTGTTAGAATTAGCACAGCAAGACTTGGATTGGTAAAAGACAACCAGCGGTGCTTTCTTTCAGGAGTATTTTTATGGGGAAAAAAAAGATTAAGTGACCCCAAACTATTGTGAGAATAACTTCCTTTAACCCCACTCTTTTCATAGAAAGTGGCTTGTTGGGTCCAATTATTGAGAGCTGATCTTAAGAGGGATTGGCGGGTCAAGAACAAGGCTGCCATCTACTGACAACTGATGGTAACAGCGGCTCCTCTCTGACCCGTCCTTGGGCTTCAGCTAAGTTCTCGGTCACAGCCAGACCCCTCCACCAGTGGGAAGCACATTCATTCATTCAAGAATCTTACAGTTGGCACAATTCGTGGCTCACGCCTTTAATCCCAGCACTTGGGAGGCAGAGGCAGGAGGATTTCTGTGAGTCCAAGGCCAGCCTGGTCTACATAGTGAGTTCCAGGACAGCTGGGGCTACAGGGAGACCCTGTCTGAAAAAGACCAAAAAAAACAAAAACAAAAACAAAAGAGTCTTACAATTTGCTAATCACGCTATTCATGCTATTCACAGAGGTGAGACAATCCATCTCCACCTTGTTTTTTGAGTCAGGCTCGCTCACTGGACCTGGAGCTCATTGATTCGTCTCGCCTGGCTGACCAGTGAGCCCTAGGGGGCTGCTTCTCTCCACCTCCCCAGACTGGGATTTCAGGTGCCTGCTGCTACTCCCAGATCTTCACGTGGGTGCTGACGCCCCAAACTCGGGCTCCTTCCCTTCAGAGGCATCGCCCCAGTCCCTTTTTGACTGTTTTTGTTGGATTTGTTTAGTTCCTTGACAACCCACCCAAATAGAAAACAAGTGCTTGTCGTGAAGCCGGGCATCCTGATGCCCCTCTGTGGACAAGCTTGGTTCCCTCCATGGGGTGTGTGTGTGTGTGTGTGTATGTGTGTGTGTGTAACTCCTGAGCTGTCCTCTGGGCATCCTGATGCCCCTCTGTGGACAAGCTTGGTTCCCTCCACGGGGTGTGTGTGTGTGTGTGTGTGTATGTGTGTGTGTGTAACTCCTGAGCTGTCCTCCGCACACCATTGTCCCTGCTGGCACACAGTAGGCTCTTGAGAGATGCTGTTCAGAGCACAGTGTCTCATGGTCATTGCTCAGACTGGTAGTCTGTACAGCCCTGGATTGACTGTGATGGAGTTCTGTCCTCCATGGGACTGTCTGCATTGAGTTGATCTCCCCCCACCCCCCAAGAAATACTTTCTCATAAAAATACAAAAGATTAGCCGGGCATAGTGGTGCACGCCTTTAATCCCAGCACTTGGGAGGCAGAGGCAGGCGGATCCCTGTCAGCTCAAGGCCAGCCTGGTCTACATAGTGAGTTCCAGGCCAGCTGGGGCTACAGGGAGACCTGTCTCAAAAAGACCAAAAAAAAAAAGTAGTGAGTGAACTTCTGCCTCCTGGTTCACTGTGAGATTCCCAAACATCCTCTTATACCTGGTACTTTTATGGTTCTTTGAGACAGGGTCTCACTATGTAGCCCTAGCTGACCTGGAACTCAGTATGAGATCTCACAGAGATCCACCTGCCTCTGCCTTCTGAGGGCTGGCTGGAATCAAGGGTGTTTGCCACCAGGCCTGGCTTTTCAAAATCTTTTTTAAAAAATTGAATAAAGCAAAGATTCTTTGCTATCCTTCCCTTCCTGTGCCCCCTCTGTTGGGTATTAATCTGCCATTTTTCACACAGATCGCAGTTTTAAATAGTAATGACAGGAGCTCAATACACAGCAGTGTGCCAGCCCGCCTGTGTGCTGACTACCATGTCCTACAAACCTACTATGCACCAGCCGCCATTATCACCCTTAAACTGAAACTCGATGAGGCAGATGTCATTGTCCCTGATTTAAAAGCAAAGAAGGGCTGGAGAGATGGCTCAGTGGTTAAGAGAGCTCACAGCTCTTGCAAAGGATCCAAGTTCCCTTCCCAGTACCCACACTGGGTGGTTCACAACCACCTGTAACTACAGCTCCAGGGGATCAGACTTCCTCTTCTGGAGGCCTTCAAGGAAACCTTCCCACACATAGCAGAGACACACACATACAGATAAATAAAAAGAAAATCTTGAAAAATAAAATAAAGGCAAACTGTAGTTAAATTATCTAGAGAGAAGCTGGGAGCTCAAAGGCCCTGAGTTTCACTTGGCCTTGACCTTGGCCTGTCCTACAAGGTCACAAGGTCCATCTGCACTACGGCAGATATCTGTGAAATCTCCTTAATTTTCAGATTGTTGCCCCAGTGCCTCATATAAACTCACACACGAGTACTTAGGAAGAAGGAGGGTGACCAAAACAATGGCTTCTGAGCCATCCCACAATGGTGGCCCTCTATTCAGAGGATGTTTTTGCTGCTGAGCCAGATGGATGTATAGTAGGCCTCAAGTAGGGGCGCTCCGTTCCGAACTGACTTGCTAGAGGGCACAGGGGAGGAAAAACACCTCCCCTCCCTTTGGGGTCTGGGCTGTTGGCTGTTGGATGGTTGATTTCATTTTGCTTGTTTTCTTAATCACTAGTTTTGTGTTCATGATAATCCTTTTCCATCAATTTCGTAAACATAAACAGCCCCGTCACGCTTCATAAAAAGGATGAAAAGAACAGAGGAATGGATGTGCTGGGGGCAGGGGATGGGTGTGCGGATGAGGACTCACAGGAAAGCACTTAGGAAGCACGGATTTTGGAACAAAAGGAAAAACAGGAGACCAGTTTATTTTCATGGGAGTGTGTTGTTAAATGAAAGAATAGTCTTTCAGGCCCTTTATGGCCTGATCCTGCTGCCAAAGACGTGGAGAGTTCTGGCCACCACCCAACGGCCTCCCCTACCCTGGAAACTCCTCCCAACACCCCATCAAGGAATGCCCCTGCAGGCTTTGATAGATGGACTCCCTCCCTTTAAGAAAAAAGCTATTCTCCAAAATTGCTCACAAAATACATTATCTGAGTTTTCTCCAGTTTGATATATTGCTTGAATGTTTAAATCATGACAACTAGGGCCTCTAAGAAGGGAGATGTGTTCTGTACCTCACAGCATAATTTACTTGCTTACAGGTCTGGCTGGCTTTGCACGCCTCTGTCCTGGAGATCAATATGAAGTAAGTAGCATGTTGGTCCGTGTTGGGACTGAAGGTTTGAAGGGCAGGCTGGCTACGGTCTTTATTGTTGTTACTGTTGCTGTTGTTATTATCGCTGTTGTTTGAGCACTAGGGATCGAACCCAGGGCCTTTCAAATGCTGGGCGAGTGCTCTACCACTGAGCTACATCTCAGTTCTCTTTTCACTTTTTATTTTTGAGACTGCATCTCATGAAGCTGCGGAGCCTAGCCTTGGCCTTATGATCCTCCAGCCCCGGCTGGGATGCAGCCATGAGCTCCAGGTGCTTCTATTTGCTTATGATGGTGTCTTAAGGGACTGGAGAGATGGCTCAGTGGTTAAGAGCACTAGCTGCCCTTGCAGAGGATCCGGGTTCGATTCCCAACACCCACATGGTGGCTAACAACCTTCCATAACTCCAGTTCCAGGGGATCCAATGCCCTCTTCTGACCTCCATAGGCATTGTACAACACAGGTGCACCTACATACATGCAGGCAACACACTCATACACAAAAATAAAATAATAAAGTATTAGAAAAATAAAACAATGACCAAATCCTTCAAGAGCTGCACAATTGAGTGGGATTGGAGGTACAGACAGTGTCAGCCACCATGTGGGTGCTGGGACCCAAACCTGGGTCCTCTGCAAGAGCAGCCAGTGCTCTTAACCACTGAGCATCTCTCCAGCCCCTGCTATGGCCTCTTGCTAAAGAAACTCTCACACCCTCACTAGAGAGGCAGAACTTATTCCCTCTGAGCCTCCACTGTCCTTGAGAACTCTGAGGGGTCAGGGGATGAGTCTAGCTCCTGCCCTTTGGATTTTGGTGACAAGGAACTCGTGGAGTTTGGGGAACGTGAAGGCTGTTGTATCTTCACAGATTTTCATGAAGTATGGCCGGCAGAGGTGGAAACTGAAAGGCAAAATAGAAATGAGCGGCAGACAGAGCTGGGACGGGGAGGAGACCATCTTCCTGCCCCTGGTCGTCGGGTTCATTTCCATCAAGGTACAGTCGCATCACCTTGTGTTTCCTAGTGTCCTGGCCAGTTGCCCTGTGGTGGGGACCCTCCATCTCTCTATTCCAGCTCCTAACAGCTGGGCTGTTCTCAAAGACAGTGGAGAGAGGAACAGTGGCACGGGCTTAGATAGCATCCACCCTGGCTTTCAGATGTGTTTCTAAGAGAAGGCATCGACAGACTAAGGAAAGGTGAAGACTAGACCCCTCTCTGTCCTGTCATCATCTCTGCCAGGTCACGGAACTCAAAGGGCTGGCGACTCACATCCTGGTGGGCAGTGTGACCTGTGAAACTAAAGAGCTGTTTGCAGCCCGACCCCAGGTGGTGGCTGTTGACATCAACGACCTTGGTACCATCAAACTGAACCTGGAAATCACCTGGTAGTAAGTTTCCCTTTTCAAGTCCATTGTGGAAAAATGCGTGCTGCTGGCCAGGGCTGTTCGGAGCTGTGCAAACCACCAGATAGAGCACAAAGCTGGTCGGAACAGCCACACTCAAACTGCTGCATCCACATCTGCTAAACTCTCCAGGCGACATGTCTACATGTTAAAACCGGAGAAACCCAGCTCAGATCACTGGTCTCCACGACCACTTCCTACCATTAAGTACTCTAACTGGGTGTGGTGGCCTCACTGGTAGTCCAGCATTTGAAGGGTAGAAGCAGGAGAACCACAAGTTCAAGGTCATTGTCGGCTCCATAGTGAGTTCCAGGCTAGCCTGGGCTACATGAGAGCCTGTCTCAAAAATTAAAATAAGGGAGGGTCTAGAGAGATGGCTCAGTGATTAAGAGCACTGGCTGCTCTTAGAGAGGACTAAGGTTCAAGTCCCAGCACCCACATGGCTTTTAACAACCATCTGTAACTCCAGTTGCAGGAGCTCCAACGCCCTCCTCTGACTTCCACAGGCATTGTATGACACAGGTGCACTTACCTACAAGCAGGCAATACATTCATACACATAAAATGAAAATAACTTTTAAAAATTAGATAAGGGCTGGGGAGATGGCTTAGAGGGTAAAGTACTTCCCACAAACGTGTGAGAACCCACGTGAAGCGGAGCAAGCAGTGTGTCTGTGACCCAGCTTCCCTCCAGCAAGACAGAAGAATCCCAGGAAACCACAGGTCAGCTAGCCGGCCACACACAGCAAACAGCAGGCCCTGTTCAAACCAGGTAGACCGAGGGTGTCCTCTGACCTCTACATGCACCCTGTAGCACTCATACACACACACACACACACACACACACACACACACTAACACACTAACACACATACATATATAAAACACATACACAAATACACACATGCATCCGTATATTCATATACACAGGTACACATACACATATGCATGCACACAGATGCATAGACAAAATACATTCAAACATACGCAACCATATACAAACATACAAACAGACATACACATACACATACACACTAACACACCTATACACAGAGACATGTATACACAGAAACATGCATACACATGTATATGCATATACACACATACATAAACATACATATACACACGTGCATAGCCATACATACACAAACATGCGGGCACAAACTCACATACATAAAACACACACACAAGCACACACAAAAGATTTTTTTAAATAAAAGAAAAACGACTGTAAGAACCCAAAGTCACCCATGAGGAAGATGGGGTGACCGAGTCCCCACAGCAGCAGCTCAGGATGTTGGGCTGTGCCCCTGGCACATGACAGGAAATGTAACAGTTGATGTCCCAGTCAGAGGCTCCTTTACAAATCAGAATCAGCTGTAGAAACCACAAAGACCCCACTGCCCTGCCATCGAACTGTGTCAGCAGCCAGTGCCCGACTTCTCTGTGCTTATAGTCTGTGGTCATCGACGGACACCCACAGGAAGGTCACCGATCAGCAGCTGGGAACGGGCTGTGTCAACTAAAGTTGACGCGATTCTGTCCTTGGGTGTTTCTTTAGAATGAGTGACAGTCTACGAGCCTCCTGCCTTGCTCCAACGTCTGCCTACAAAGCTGGGGGGTTTTTAGACTTTCCCAGCGTCTTCTGTTGCAGTCGCTCATATGCTCACGTTCCGAGCACTCGTGTGAAAACAGACATGCCCATGCTCAGAGCCATGGGGGCCTTGTCCTGGGGAGGCCTAGACTCAGCCTTTAGCTACCCCTCTTTTTCCTGGATTTATTTTCTGAGACCCAGTTTGGCCCAAACCAACCCCATCCCCACTGAGTCAATAAGAAGCTTTCTTCTCTGCGGTCTGGGGATGGCAGGCGATTGTACGCTCACCTGTTGTTTTGCAGTCCCTTTGACGTGGAGGACACGACTCCATCCTCAGGTGCTGGGAACAAGGCAGCTGCTCTCCAGAGGAGGATGTCCATGTACAGCCAGGGCACCCCAGAAACGCCCACCTTCAGGGACCACTCCTTCTTCGTAAGTTCATCTGATGTTTGATGTAGCAGTGATGAGCTGAGGCCATGTTGGTGGTATTTGAAACATGTACCACCCGTGTCAGAGTTTCACAAATATGCCTGATGATGGACTGGGGAAATGGCTCAGCAATTAAACCACTTGCTATGCAAACATGAGGACCAGAATTTGCATCCCCAGGACCCACATCAGTGGCCCGTGGGTGTGGAGGCCCACCTGTAATTCCAGCCTAGGAAGGCCAAGGCACAAATCCCTAGAACAAGCTGGCTAGGAAGAACAGCCACATGGGAGACTGCTGAGTTTGACTGAGCCCTGCCTCAAGGGGTAAGGTGGGAGAGCACACAAGGACGATTCCTGATCTCGACCTTGGGACCCCACACACATGCACACAAATGTGCACACACACACACATGCAACCATGCATATACATGCATACCATCTACACACACACACATGCAACCATGCATATACATGCATACCATCCACACATACACAGCAAAAAAAAAAAAAAAAAAAAAAAAGAAATAACCCCTAACGATGTGGTTCTCGAGGTCATCCTAAGCAAGTGGTGACTGAGGAAACCAGGCCCCGAGACACACCAGCCCTGTGCATCCAGGGTGGCTTCTCTGCCTGTCCATCCCTCCTCCTGTTTCACTGTTTACTGGGAAATGGCATGTAGGGTTTCCAAACATCCTCTAGCTTTAGTCCTTTTGAATAGATATGAATGATGCCTGCTTGTCTTCATCAGCAAGCCTTGCTAACCACTAAGGAAACCTGTTAACCTGCTCTCTCCACCAACTCCCATCTTGCCTTGACTTCTGAAGAGATGGTTACGGCTGCCTGTCTTGAGTGCCTTGCAAGACACTTTCTTTGCCTCGCTGCACCACAACCGCTCTGTCGGTGACCTGCCTTCCCTCAGCCTGAACCCCAAGGCCCTGCTAGAGTTCTATGTGAGTGTGCCCCCGCCCCACCCCGCGTGACGTGCTTGACTTCACAGAACTTGTGCATGCAGCCCCGCATGACTTTCGTTCGTCCTCTCTCTCTTGCATGCTGGGTGATGGAAACTGTCCTGTCCTCGGGGTGAGAAGTGTTGCCGTGCACACTCCTCTATCCACCTTCTTTCCCAACAGTTCCTGGTTTTATGCTATGCTTTTTCTCCATGGTAACAAGACTTTCATTTAAAAAAAAAGAGAGAGAGAGAGAGAAAAGAAAAAACTGTTATTGGGGCTGGGAATGTAGTACAGATGGCAGAGAACTTGCTTAGAACAAAAGCTCCAAGTTCCATGCCAGCACCACATAAACCAGGCACGGCAGTGCACTCCTGTAATCTCAGAACTCAGGAGGTGGAGGCAGGAGGATCAGAGGTTCAAGGTCATCCTCAGATATATAATGAGCTACAGGCCAGCCTAGGCTACATGAGTTCCTGTCCAAAAAGAAAGTGGGGCTGGAGGGATGGCTCAGCAATTAAGAGCACTGACTGTTCTTACAGAGGACCCAGGTTCGATTCCTAGCACCCACATGGCAGCTAACATCCATCCATAACTCCAGTTCCAGGGAATCCGACACCTTCCTCTGACCTGCAAAGGCACTACAACGACATGGGTGCATTTACACAAACATGCAGGCAAATACTCTCATACGCATAAAATAAAATAATAAATAAGATATGTTTTTAAAAGGAAGCAAGGAAGGAAGGAAGAATGGGACGGAGGAAGGAGAGGAAGAAGGGAGGCGGGAAAGAGAGGCAAGGACGGGGAGGGATGAAGCAAGGAGGTTATTTCAGGTTAGACATCGGACTGGAAAACTGGCACTCAAGGAACGCAGAATTCCAACCAATCTCACCAAAGCTGCTTCTACTTAAAGAGAGTGTCCATCTTAGTTTGTTATTTGTTAATTACATCCTTTGTTAGTAAAAGCCCTGGAATTCATAGGAACACAATAGGTAACCTACTTTTATAAATTATTAGCAGGGTGTGATTGCACACACCTTTAATCCCAGCACTCGGGAGGCAGAGGCAGGCAGATCTGTGTTCAAGGCCGGCCTGGTCTATGTAGTGAGTTCCAGGACAGCTGGGGCTACAGGGAGACCCTGTCTCAAAAAGACCAAAAAAAAAAGAAAGAAAGAAATACGGTACAAAGGATAAGGCTAAGTGGTTCACAGCGTTTCAAAGGAAAATAGGAAGAATATATGGGAAATGCATGAAAATAATATCACAAATCAGGCTGTCCGCGTGACTATCGATGCGATGGGTATTCACACTCACGCCACACACGTTGGGGGGCACTGGGGAATGTTGAGGTTACTTTTTACTTGTGACAAGAAGCACCTTAGGAGGAGGATTTTTGGCTCACAGTGCAGGTGTGCACGATGGTAAGATATGGTGGCTGGCACTCTGCGTTAGGAACAGAGAGGTGAACGCTGGCACTCTGCGTTAGCAACAGAGCGGAGAACGCTGGCACTCTGCGTTAGCAACAGAGCGGAGAACGCTGGCACTCTGCGTTAGCAACAGAGCGGAGAACGCTGGCACTCTGCGTTAGCAACAGAGCGGAGAACGCTGGCACTCTGCGTTAGCAACAGAGCGGAGAACGCTGGCACTCTGCGTTAGCAACAGAGCGGAGAACGCTGGCACTCTGCGTTAGCAACAGAGCGGAGAACGCTGGCACTCTGCGTTAGCAACAGAGCGGAGAACGCTGGCACTCTGCGTTAGCAACAGAGCGGAGAACGCTGGCACTCTGCGTTAGCAACAGAGCGGAGAACGCTGGCACTCTGCGTTAGCAACAGAGCGGAGAACGCTGGCACTCTGCGTTAGCAACAGAGCGGAGAACGCTGGCACTCTGCGTTAGCAACAGAGCGGAGAACGCTGGCACTCTGCGTTAGCAACAGAGCGGAGAACGCTGGCACTCTGCGTTAGCAACAGAGCGGAGAACGCTGGCACTCTGCGTTAGCAACAGAGCGGAGAACGCTGGCACTCTGCGTTAGCAACAGAGCGGAGAACGCTGGCACTCTGCGTTAGCAACAGAGCGGAGAACGCTGGCACTCTGCGTTAGCAACAGAGCGGAGAACGCTGGCACTCTGCGTTAGCAACAGAGCGGAGAACGCTGGCACTCTGCGTTAGGAACCGAGGTGAACGCTGGCACTCTGCGTTAGGAACAGAGGTGAACGCTGGCACTCTGTGTTAGGAAACAGAGAGGTGAACGCTGGCACTCTGCGTTAGGAAACAGAGAGGTGAACGCTGGCAGAGGTGAACGCTGGCACTCTGCGTTAGGAACAGAGGTGAACGCTGGCACTCTGCGTTAGGAACAGAGGTGAACGCTGGCACTCTGCGTTAGGAACAGAGGTGAACGCTGGCACTCTGCGTTAGGAACAGAGGTGAACGCTGGCACTCTGCGTTAGGAACAGAGGTGAACGCTGGCACTCTGCGTTAGGAACAGAGGTGAACGCTGGCACTCTGCGTTAGGAACAGAGGTGAACGCTGGCACTCTGCGTTAGGAACAGAGGTGAACGCTGGCACTCTGCGTTAGGAACAGAGGTGAACGCTGGCACTCTGCGTTAGGAACAGAGGTGAATGCTGGCACTCTGCGTTAGGAAACAGAGGTGAACGCTGGCACTCTGTCCTCTGCCTCACCATCCTCCATAGCTGGATTCTAGAACCATCCCTTTCCAATGCTCCACCCCTTTCCTTGTGGGGACCCTAATCTCATGACATACTTCACTTACTCAACCAAAATAGAATCAACCTAGTCAAGAACAAAGAATTTTCCATGGGGACTGTAATACCTGGAGACAAAATGTGTAGGGTGTTATAAATCAGTGACTGCTTGTAGTTTAAACTCCAAGAGGGTTTCACATCTCTGTGCATCAAGAGTTATGATTGGTTCTCTAAGTCCAAACTGTTTTGACAGACAGGGAGTACGGAGTCTCGGGAAGCAAAGACAATGACTCTGTAGTTACACAGGTAGTAATGACCCTTCAGAATACCGTGGGTGGTTTGCAAGAGCGTCAAGGAGCCAGACAGCTCTGTTGGAAAGTTCCGCAGTGGGTGTTCCCAAGGCCTCCCCATGTCTGAGGTACTTTTCTCTGCTTTGATTTTCCTCCTTGACAATTCCCCTGTGGTGTTGGGTGCCTGTTGACGGATGCATGTCATTCATAGACTGTAAGTCCCCCTGAGCGGGGCATCTGGACTTATTTCAGCTCAGTATTTGCCACGTAAGTAGAGGCAAATTGGCCTTGACCACCCAGTCTTCTACCCCAGCCAGGGGCTCCACCCCCAGTGCAGTCAGGATGTATGTGTGCAGTTCAGGCGAGGCTGGTCGGGGCCATGTGGAGAACATGAGCATTCAATGAAGAGCCTATGGGGGTTCCACAGAGAGAGCTCACAGGGAGGACTCTCACCCTTCTCACGTCTGCCCTCCCCCCACAGTTTTCCCTTTCATCTTGACTAGAGGAATAAATGAGAGTGTGAGAATAGAGGGAGGAGCCCCAATAATCAGACTAGAAAGGAAAAGGGGGGCCCTAGAGCCCACCGCCTCTGAGGCCTTGGAGACACACATTCTCAGTAACCGCTGATTTTCCCAGCTCAGCAAAGACAAGAGATTAAGCCTTGAGTGTCTGGTGACATGCGTCTTGCTCATTACCCTCTGACTAGACTGGAATGGACAGCTGAGGTGGGGTTACCTGCCAGATTGGATGCCAGTGGCTTCAATCAGCAGCAACAGGACCTGGGGCGCCACTGAAAGGCAGGGAGCCTCTGTCCTGCCTGTGTCCGGTTCAGTCGCTGTGAAGTCGTTACCAGGCTCGGTCCTAGCATGACTGTGGAAGTTGTAGTGTGCTGAATAATGGCGAGAGAAAGCCTGCGTCTGTTCAGTATTCCCTGGCAGTTAGTTGAATCTGCAGCTGTAGAACGTGTGGATACAGAGGAATAGTTAGTTGCGCTTTTAAAATCCAGTCTGGGAGCCGGGTGTGGTGGCGCACGCCTTTAATCCCAGCACTCAGGAGGCAGAGGCAGGCAGATCTCCATGAGTTCAAAGCCAGCCTGGTCTACATAGTGAGTTCCAGGACAACTGGGGCTACAGGGAGACTCTGTCTCAAAAGACCAAAAAAACAAAATCCAGTCTGGAGGACCAGTGAGGTGGCTCAGCCAGTAAAGGCCCTTGACATGAACTTTGTGAATGACAGTGTTATGTCGTGATGTCAAAGACTTGGACACAGCAGCCTGAGAGAGGACGGTACTGAGCAGCTTACTTAGGACTTGCGGTGCTGGCAGAGGCCCACCACTGTGTTCCCGGACAGCTCCTTTTCAGTGTGGGCATCGGACCCAATTCCTCACGCATGGTAGGAAGATGCTCTGTCCATCGCGCTCAGCTGCCTGGCAGTCACCCGCCTCTCTCTCCAGATCTGCTTCATGAAGAACAGAGTGAACCTGAGACACCACCAGAGCGGACTTGACAGAGAGTTGCATCTCGAGGTGTTCCAAGAGCCCTGGGGTTTGCATACTGGAGACAGAGTCTACACTGACTAGTCTGTTTCTGTTTCTAGAGAAGCTACACAAATATATTTCAAGAGATTGGCATTTGTGGGTAGAGGTTTTTCAAAAGATAACTTTGAAAACTAAAACAGCAAACGTCTCATCTTTAGAGTAAAATAGCACCGATATCTTGAGGGCTTTGGGGTTTTGTTTTGTTTTATTCTGTGTTTTCCAGACAGGGTCTCCCCGTAACCCCAACTGACCTAGAACTGACTGTGTCGACCAGGCACAGAGATACGCCTGCTCCTGCTTAAAGGAGGATTAAAGGTGTATACTACGACACCCAGATTAAACTGTGAAGTCTTTTAATATATTTACTAGCACAGACACACACACAGAGACAGACAGACAGACACATGTAAAGAAAAAGATGGTTAGAGCTATTCATGACAATGGTGGCCAAATACTATAAGGTCCTGGGATTTATCAAAACAAGCAACATATCAGGGCTGGAGAGATGGCTCAGCAGTTAAGAGCACTGGCTGTTCTTGCAGAGGACCCAGGTTGGATTCCCAGCACCCACATGGAGGCTACAAACCGTCCTTAACTCCAGTTACAGGGGATCTGATGCCCTCTTCTGACCTCTGCAGGCACTGCACAACATGGATACACTTACATACACTCATACACAAAAAATAAAAAATAATAAAAAAATTTTTAAAAAACAAGCAACATCCCCACCATACCCTCAAGGTACATTTTTGGAAAATGTGAAACCTAAGAACAGCACCATGAACTTTCACCTAGATCCAACGATAGAACTAGTTTTAACAGCTTGTTTTCTTTTGCCTGTCACACATACATATCAAGTAAATTGCTGATATGAAAGAGCTTTCCTTTTCATTGCCTTTCCTCTGTCTGTAAATAAACCATGCCAAATGCACCATTTGTACTGAGAGTAATCACACAGTGTCTTCTCCACAGTCGAATCTGCCAGATGACATCTTTGAGAGCGAAAAGCCATCTGAGAAGACACCTCTGTCCCTCAGCTTCAGCGACCTGCAGGACACAGACGGTGCCTTCACCTCCAGCTCAGCCACCTCACCATCCAGCTCATACTCGGCCCATCCTGAAATTACCATCACCCCTGCTGAGCTCACCCAGAGCAGCCTGTCCTCCCAGAACGAGGTCACGGAGGACAGCAGCTCAGCATCTTCCAGGAACTCCTTGGGTGAGGACCACGAGCCAAAGTCCCAGGGGATGAGCAACACGGTGCAGCCCAGGCAGCCCGACTCCGCCGCAGGGGCCGGTGCCGAGCACCTGTTCCTGGAGAATGGTGTCGCCGAGGCCCTCCTACAGGAGTCGGATGAAGCCTCTGAGCTCAAGCCTGTGGAACTGGATGCTTTTGAGGGAAACATCACAAAGCAGCTAGTGAAGAGACTCACCTCAGCCGAGGTACCAGTGACCAGTGAGAGGCTTCTCTTTGACGGTCCGGTCAGTAGTGAATCTGAGGCCGCCCAGTCCTTTCTCGACGGCAGCCTGGAAGATGCCTTCAATGGGCTCTTCCTTGCCCTGGAACCACACAAGGAGCAGTACAGAGAGTTCCAGGATCTGAACCAAGAAGTCCTGCACCTGGATGATGTGCTCAAAGTAAGTACCTTTTCTGAAAAACTGGATTCAGTTTGGAGAAAGGCATCTTAAACCAACATTCTATTTACGATAACAAATCCTGTCCCATCACAGGACCCATGTGTGGCTACACATAAGTGGCACTGATTTTGAATACCAGTTACACATATTGATTTTTATTTTCCCAATAACAAATCAACTTAGCTAAATCCGTTAGGAATTTGTTTACAAGTTCTAAAGAAGGCCTAGGGCTAAGGGAGACGGCTCGATGGTGAAGTAAGTATGAAGACCTGAGTTCGATCCTCAGCATTGGCCCACGCTTGTAATCCCAGCTCTGAGGGTCAGAGACAGAAGGTTCTCTGTGGTTGGCCAGCCAGTCAGTCTAGTCTACTCAGCGAGTTCCAGGCCAGGCAGAGACCCTGCCTCAAACATACCTCAGGAACAACACTGGAGATTGGCCCCTGGCCTCCACGTGCACACACACACACGAGTATGCATGCCCTCATACACGCACAGACACACCAACAACACACACAATGCCCGACACTGCTGCCATCCCAAGGCTACTCAGTCTAATCCCAAATGTGAAATATCAATGTTTGTTCATCATGGTCTTCCAGATGCTACAAGATAGGGTCTTTCTGAGGGTGCCAGGGAAACAGGGGAAGTAGGCCAGCCCCAAGGTGACAGCCAGCCTGTCCTCACAGCACCACCTGTGGGAGGAATCCCTTCCTCATTTGACCCAGATCAGCAAGCTGAGTATGCATACCCTCATACACGCACAGACACACCAACAACACACACAACGCCCGACACTGCTGCCGTCCCAAGGCTACTCAGTCTAATCCCAAATGTGAAATATCAATGTTTGTTCATCATGGTCTTCCAGATGCTACAAGATAGGGTCTTTCTGAGGGTGCCAGGGAAACAGGGGAAGTAGGCCAGCCCCAAGGTGACAGCCAGCCTGTCCTCACAGCACCACCTGTGGGAGGAATCCCTTCCTCATTTGACCCAGATCAGCAAGCTGAGGTCTCAGGGGAATGAGCCAGGGCACCACAAAGTACAGCAGAGGTCCTTTCATGCATGGGGTGATCAGACAGGGTAGAGGAATGAGAGGAGGAAGAAGGGGTGGTTCCCCTCAAGTAGAAGCTGTTAATGCTGAAGTTCTCAGCCACCTCGGAACAGATGTGTGTGCACTTAACATACAGGTGAAAATTCAGAAAATGCAGCACAGGAAGACGGGAGCACACAGCCAGTCTTTCACCCGTTTCCAACTTACACAGTCAGCCAAGGACTTGGATTCTTTAAGGATATGTTCTGTAAAGTAAGCTTGAAAGTAAGGTTGCTGTGGCACTCTCTCTCTCTCCTCTCCATTTTTCATACTCATGTAGCTCCAGAGATTTGTGCCTGGGGTAGATGCTAATTCAGCTGATTTGTGCCTGGGGTAGATGCTAATTCAGCCTCTGACACTCGAGTTTCTTAATGACCGGGACAGCATTCACAGGTAGACCCTCTGAGAGGGGAAGGGCACTTAGAATCTGCTTTCTGTAGAACACAGCTTAAAAGCACCTGCTCAGGGCTCAGGCATGAAGGCACCTGGGTGATCCTCCCCCAAGTATCTCATCCACATGATTGACCAGCTTTGCCTTGTACACAAAAGGTGTTCGTTTCAAAGAGCTAAGGCACATGTTGACCCCACCTAAAGAATGTGCCTCAAAGTCAGTCAGTGGTTGGGCTTCTTCAGTGAGGGCTGGGAGGGGTGGCAGCTCCCATTCTAGTCTAAAGGGCAACAGAAACATTAATTCGTTATCTGTTCATTTTGTAAAACCTTGGTAGTCACAGATCCCTTTCTGTTTCAGCCCGCTCCTGTTCCAATACTGTCCCAGTTCTAGCCTGCTAGTGAAATGCTCGCCCATCTCTCTCTTTGTTGTGACCAATATTTAAAAGCCATGCTCAAGTTGTCAGCAAGATCTAGCTGCACAGATCTTAGACTTAGGAAAGAAGACTCAAGAGGCAGGCTGAACCCCCACTTCTCCCTTCTCTCCCTGAGATTGCCGGCGTCACTGTGAGTTGGTCTGGGGCAAGCGGCTCTGTATGCAGCGGATGCAGCTGCAGCTGGACAAAGCTCTCTTTTTTCCTCCTTTACATTCCTAGGGTGCTAAACACCTTGAGGATCAGAGACTCAGTGATGCTGCTTCCCGGACGGAGATCACTAAGGGTGAATGAGACAACGTGACCTAAAAGACTGAAAGACATTGCCCCTGTGCTTCTGTGCTATCCTACGTGTCAGAGGCAGACCCCCCCCCAGGCCCTTCCTACCTTTGCTAAGAATCATCAAAGAGTGGCACCTAGCTGGACGGAGGACATTTAGTGCGTCTGACTTATAGGACTTGTTCAATACACCCCAGCATCCTCTTCTCTCTGTCTCCAGGTTACCCTGCTTCTGTAAACCCCCAGCAACCTGCTGTGAGAAGGGCTTGTCCCCACAATCCCAGGGCCTTGTCAGAGGGGTGACAGGGCTCACTTCTCTCAAGTCAGACCTCCAGAGGAAGCAGGGTTAGTTCCCATGATGCCCAAGCCACTTTTTAAAAACATTTTTGTTTCATTTTTATGTGTATGAGCATTTTGCCTGCATGTATGTAAGTGCACCATGTGTCCAATGCCCATGGAGGCCAGAAGAGGGCAACAGATCCCTAGAATGGGAGTTACAGATGGTTGTGAGGTGCCATGTGGGTGCTGGGAATCAAACCAGGATCCTCTGTAGGAGCAGCCAGTGCTCTTAACCACTGAGTATCTCTCCAGCCCCCAAGTCACTCATTTGGCTCCTGTGATCAGCTGTGAATGTAACATTGCAATGCAGGGCTTCCTCCCTACGTAGTCCAGGACTTTAGACAGAGAGCTCCAGCTCAGGACTCAGCATCAGCACCTGGCTCCGGTCAGCAGTGACTAGGGCTTTAAAATGTGTCCTCTGAGTCGCTCTCACTGTTTTGTTTTGCTCGAGGCAGAGCCGTGGTATGTTGCCCAAGCTATTTTGAACTGGTGAGCTTGTGCTCACCCCAGCTCAGTCTCCTGAGTGACTGGGACTACAGGTGAACACAGTGCCAGCTTGCTTATTCTATTTTATTCAGCAATGAGCTTTATACCAAAGAAATGCATTAAGCCTATTTCCCAAGACTTTCGGGTTGAACATTCTTTAAGTTTTTATTACTTTAACAGAACTTTCAGAGAGAAGTAAGGCTTCCCACCCCCAGCACCCCCAGTGACCCCACGATCAACTCACCACAACAGCCCCAAGTGTTCCTCCCCGTATACTTCCATCCAGATGCTTTACAAATGCAACTGTCTTGCCACGTTGCCTGTGGTTGTACCTGTTTCTCTGAACATGAAGATTTTAAATGCCAACCAAAAATAAAGGCTTGGAAAATGATAAGGTGTCGCGTTTTCCACTGGCGCCCATGAGGCCTGCTGGCCTGGTCCTCTGGGGATGTTGATGTTCTTCTTGGTACCTTCTGCTTTCGCAGTGCAAGCCGGCAGGCAGCCGCAGCAGGTCTTCCAGCCTGAGTCTTACAGTTGAGAGTGCTTTAGAAAGCTTTGACTTTCTCAACACCTCAGACTTCGATGAGGAGGAAGAGGATGCTGATGAGGTCTGCGGAGTGGGAGGAGGAGCCGACTCTGTGTTTTCAGACTCCGAGCCTGAGAAGAATAGGTGAGTGTGACCATAGCTGCTCCGCTCTCTTTGTTACTGTCACGGGAGGCCAGGGGCCGATCTCCAGGATGACACTGTCCCTGAGTGGTGTCCAACCCACAGCTCGAAGGCCGTGTGCAGCCACATGTGGCCCAACATAAAATCATAAATTTGCTTAAACTGTTATGCAATTGTTTTGTGCTTTTTCTCTTTGTAACTGGATTGCTCCATTCTCAAGTGGGCACTCTGTAGACGGTACTGTGCAAAGCATCAGAAGGGGGCTGTGGAGATGGCGCAGCAGGTAAGAACACCGGCTGTTCTTGTGGAAGACCTGGGTTCGAATCCCAGCACACACATGGTGGCTAACAACCATCCATAACTCTGGTTCCAGGGGATCTGAATTCCTCTTCTGACCTCTACAAGCATTGCATGATACAGGTGCACTTACACACAGGCAGGCATAATACTCATACACATAAAATAAAAATAAATTAATTTTAAAAAAATTTTCTTTTTAGTCTTTTTGAGACAGGATCTCCCTATATCCCAGCTGGCCTGGAACTCACTATGTAGACCAGGCTGGCCTTGAACTCACAGAGATCTGCCTGCCTCTGCCTCCGAGTGCTGGGATTAAAGGCGTGCACCACCACACCCAGCCAAAATTTTTTAAATTTTCAAAAATTAAAACAGACCCAGGTTCAATTCCCAGCACCCACATGGCAGCTGACAACTGTCTGTAACTTCAATTCCAGGGTATCTGACACTGTCTTCTAACCTCTGCAGGAATTGCATGACACGGACTCACTTACATCCATGCAGGCAATATGCTAATATGCTTAAAATAAAAATAATAAATAAAATATTAAAACAACAACAACAAAAAAGTCAAAAGGCTGGCCACACCTTCGAGATGACTTCTCTTGCAGTTCCTTTTAATTATCAAGTACTACTTCTAAATATTACCCACTTCTTTGAGGTTGAGTAAGGAAAAATAAATCCCTTTTCTTTCTTAGAAAATCTTTGTGACTTCGTGCACATAGATGTGTGTGTGTATTGTGTAAGGTGCAGGATCTACAACATAACCACAAGGCATTAATTCTAAATTAACTATATCTAGGGGCTGAAGAGATGGCTCAGTGGGTAAGAGCACTGGCTGCTCTCGCAGAGGACCTGAGTTCAGTTCCAAGCACCCACATAGCAGATAACAACTATCCTGAGCTGCAATTGAGGGGATCCAAGACCTTCTTCTGGCCTCTGTGGGCATTGCATGCAAAGGTGCACTTACATACATGCAGGCAGAACACTGAGAGACATAAAATAGATGATAGATGATAGATGATAGATAGATAGATAGATAGATAGATAGATAGATAGATAGATAGATAGATAGATAGATAGATAGATAGAGATCGATCGAATAGATAGATGATAGATAGATAGATAGATGATAGATAGATGATAGATAGATAGATAGATAGATAGATAGATAGATAGATAGATAGATGATAGAATTTTAATCTTAATTAAGTCTAGAGAATTCTGTAGTGGGCAGCAGAACGGACCTGGCTCCCCCTGGCATGCATTGCACTTCCAATGCCTTTGGTTTGCCAAGCTCTGATTTCCAGGCTCCTCCTTCTCTTTCCCTTCAGCTCTGTGAACCTTTGCATGAAGTTGAACTCACTGGTATACTTCTCAAAGCCAGACTTAAGTTCCCTTAGAATGTAAAGATGGATGGTTGTCACTGTCACTAGATCTATGTCACTCCAGAAAGAAAATGTGTCACCATCTCCATCAGGTGTCCTCCTGAAGTCAAACCATGTCCTTAGAGCTAGATCCTGGGTCCACTCTGTGGTTTCAAATGAAGCAAAACAAAGACAATGTCTGGTACCCACCTCCACCGCTTCCTGGCATCACCGGTACATGCCCAAAGGAAGGGGCCACCTCCACTGGCCTTCTGCTTCCGTAGGACAGAGGTGACATAAGTAGGCTTTCAACCTACAACCAGCTGTGGCTGCCCAGACTTTGCAGAGCTATCTGTGGGAGGTGCTATTGTTTGGGTTGCTGTTGTTCCTGGGTTTTTTTCCAAAATAAGGACAAGTTTTAAAAAATAAAAACATGAGAACTAAAATGTATCCCTTGAGCAAACTGGGAATAAAGAAAATGAAATTTTTAGCCAGGGAGGTGGTGCACACCTTTAGTCCCAGCACTCGGGAGGCAGAGGCAGGCAGATC